TACAAAATCAATCACTTGTTTTTTTTTCTTTTCTTTTTCTTATTATTTTTTCCAATTTAAAATTGTTTTACAAAAAAAAAAAAAAAAAATTGCATCGATTTTTATTTTTCAGCTTCTTAATACTGTTATCAATTTAATCACCAATAAAATTGTCAGCTTCAAAAAAAAAAAACAGCGAATTCAAATTATGGGACAGTTATTAGGACGTCAAAAATCAAAAGGGTAAAATAAATTTTTCATTCTATACCAATTACTATTGTAAGGTTAGAGATTAAAAGGTTGTGATTAGCACTGATATTGTTCACATTTTGATATATTTTAGTTTATGTGCAATTTGTTTGGAGAAAATGCCCATGAAGAGCATTTCAGCCCTTCGTTGCGGTCATTTATTTCATTTCCGATGTATCAAATATTGGCTAACTGTATGCATTATTGTTTTGGTGTTTTTTTTTTCATTTTTTTTTTAAATTTTTTCTAAATACTTTTCAATTTTGATTATCACAGGTTTCATAAGCAATAAATAAATTTAAAAAAATTTATATTTCATATATATTTGCAATAATAATGATAATATGCGCTCAAAATTTGTTAAATATATTCGGCAGAATTACAGGATAAAGTAAATTGAAATATCACCATCCAAAAATAGCACAACAGTAATAAATCGAATTAAATTTTATGAATTTATTAAATCTTTCATTATTTCAAAAAGTGTTACACTGGAATGGATTATTTCTCTTACTTGTTTTGATTTCAAATTAATTTTAATTTAAAGAAGTATACCTATTCAGAAGAGAAGTTTTTCTTTTGTTTTTTTTTTCTTAAGGAACAGGAAACGTGTCCAGAGTGTCGTAAGCCATCAAAGCTTGATGACATTGTAACATCACTTTATTTTCACGATGATATGGTTGATAGAAAAAGTGATATTACTGATACGCATTCTGGTGAGGACAGCTTGGATGAGTTCGAGAAACAGAACAATTACAATGATCTTCTAAAAAAAGTGACATTCTGTCTTCTATACGCCACATTTCAAAATTTAGTTAAAATTTTTCTAATCTCACAGCACCTATTTTCAAAAAATAAATTTTACAGCAATTACTTTTTTTGTAGAGATATTTTTAACTTCCAATACTTAACATGAAAATCATCATTTTCTAATAATTTCAACAAATAAAACTAACATTAAAAGTAAAACTTTTTACGTTTCATTCAAACCATTATTCAATAAAGGAATCAAATTGATTTGACTGAATTTATTCAAAAATGAAATATAATTCAGCTTGATAATGCTTATTTGGAGCTTAAGAGTGAGAAAGCATTGCATGAACAGACGAAAGAATTTCTTGAAAAAGTTCAATGGGAAAAATTAGAATTGGTAAGCGGTATCTTTTGTTCATGCAAAAAAGGAAATTTAATATCTTCATTTTAAATAAAGCTAATTTCGAATAAAATATATCTTTGAAAATTTTGAAAATATTTATTTGAAAAATGCAAAACTCTTGCTAAATTGTTTAAAAATTTTAATGATAAAAGTGCCAATATTTTAGATAAGTATAATTCAGACAATGATTGGAAATGATTGAAAATGATGGAAATTGATCGGATGCGGCACGAATTAATTATGATTAATTTATCGTTTATTAGTGCAATGATATTTTTATAGCTCGATTTCGCTCAGGAATCACTATACTTAATTAGTCTCATCGTATTTAAACTTTATTTCATTTTTGTAATTCAGTAATTGAGTCACAAAGACATTCTGTATGATAGAAGTTGCGGTAGTTTGTGGCACTTAATTTGAAATTCAATTCATTCTATTTAAATTGTGAATTATTTAGAATTTTTTCGATAAATGAAAAAATAATACAAGTTTGCAGTGAATTCATTTATAATTCTCGCCGTATATTCAAGCTGTGAGTAATATGAATAAATGTAAATTTTTTAGTCTTTTATTACATAAAATTTTCTCAATTTTTATTTTGCATTTACTAAGAACAAAAAAAAAAGTTTACAGCCAAATAATTAATATATTCATTATAAAGGATGTAAATATTTTAAAAGTTTAATTTTGTCAGTTTGTGCATTCAAATGAATATTAAATTAAAGTTTAAATTTAGTATTGATTCGAATGCATTATTGAACCAATTTTAATGTGAACTAAAAATGAAAGAATATTTGCATACGATAATCCGATATCAAATCTAAAACCTGGAAATGAAACTTACTCCCAAGATTTGTATTTAAATGATAACTGACTTATAATAATGATAACTAGTTTGATCTAAATCAATGCTCCAGTGTGGTCTCGTGGTGTAGCGGTTATCACATCTGTCTAACACACAGAAGGTCGGCGGTTCGATTCCGCCCGAGATCATGGTCCTGCAAAATGGCATGGAAATACGATGTTTTTTCTCAACGAACATTATTAGTGTGGAAGGCTTTTTCCGTACGCGTGTTGAAAATGTAATTCGTTGATGGAAATATTTCGAGAACATTACGGCTTTTCAATTCATCCACTTTTCGATTACATGTTTACGTATAATATTCAATTTATATTCAGACTTGTGTTTTTTCTTATAAATTATAAAATTTATTTTAATTTCAGGAATTATAATCTGGCTCGATCGTATAAAACTATAGGAACAACGTTAAAAATATTTCTCTAATAATATACTTGTAAAAAAAAAAAATCCAACATTCAAAATTTTATCTCATACATGAGTTTTATTCTGGAAATGTATCATTTAAAATAAAATCGGAAAATGAAAAAAAAAACCATCAAATAGAACTGTATATTCCCACAACAGTATGTTAGCAACCATGTTCATTTTCTTTTTCCAATTAATTTGAAATTTAGTAAAATTTAAATAAAAAGTTGCAAGTTTCATCAAGAGTTTGCAGTTTTGATAGTCGAGAGTATTTTCAAAAAAATTTCATATTATTTATCTTTAACTAAATAATATTTTCATACTATCTCCTATATCAACACAATATTATTATTTCCTAATTCACTCTTTTTGTTCAACTTGAAAACAAAATTTAAAAGTGAAAAAAAAAATGAAATCAATGCAAAAAAAACGACCAAAAATTTCATGTTTCAAATACAATGAAAGAGAAGAATATCATACACAAAGACTGCTGAAATAAATGAATTGAAAAATAAAAACATTGCAAAATAAAAGTATTTAAAAAAACAATTTAAAAGAAGCGAACTTTTCAAGAGCAAAAATGTTGAAGCGAATGATATAAATGAAAGCAAAACGCACAATTAACAACAAATATTTCGTTGCTTTCTTTTTTAAAATCGCGAAATTTCCCGTCATCTCGTGACTGATAAAAGTAAAAATTGTTTGGAATAAAATAGCTATTACTACTATTATTACTATACAACATTGATGATTTATAGCAAAATTTTAAACGACGTCTAATAAAAATTATTTCATCATTCAAAATGTGCAATTTCTCGTCGCTTATCTGTCAATTAAGCCACAGATGAATAAATCAAAATATTTTGCTATGAAGTTTATCATCTATCAAAAAGAACACTACAAGCTTTAACCTCCATTAAACTTATTATTCATTTCTCAGTCTTAAATCGCATATCGAATTCATCATAGTATGTTTTAAATCTCATATATAACTCGTCCGCTGGAAGGAATACTACTAAAATATAGTTTCCTCTTTTTTCTTTTCCTTTGCTTTATAATCAAATTTGCTTGAACTAAATGATGCATTTGTAAAATTAAATTTCATCCAGTTCATTTCTATCATTTGCAAAATGCTCTCATTTGACGAAGAAAAGTGGAAAAGATATATACAAAACTCTTTCATCTTTTTTTTTCCTTTTTTCTTCTCTGGTGAATTAAGCAAATCGAATTGCTAATATGTCACTTCTCCCTGCTTTTTTTTTTGTTAGCATATCTCACATCCCAATATTACACAATCATTCTGTGCAATTCTTTTCTTTTATACAGTCTAATCGATGGATAATGCCGATTCGAATAAAATCCTCAAATCTCATCTTCTTTTTTTAAATTTCCGATAAAATGGTCATATTTTACAAATATTCAAATTACAATAACATACAAGGAAAAAAAGGAACCGATGTGTTCTGCCATTTTTCTATCTTACAAACATTACACTTCTCTATGCTTTGAAAGTTATTTTTTCTAGCTTCATTTTCAGGACTTACCCAACAAGAACTACACGTCTATTCCTCGACCTATTATGCTAGCATAACAAAAACTGGAACAAAAAGGAAGAAAAAGAATGCATGTATCATACATAACAACAATAAAGTCTTATCGTGTAATTAGAAAAATGTCTGATATTTCATAAATGGTCAAAGAATAAAATCATATTTCTGAATATAATGACCTCCTTTTGTACTCAATCATGCTGTCATCATTATATCATATAATGGAGTATTGTCCTCTCTTTTTAAACAGAACTTGGTTTGATCGTGGAAAGTTTCCACAATCGAACCAAGCTCTATCTTAAGCATGATATTAGTAAATGTGCAATATTAAATGACTGTTCAAACAGTCCTTCTGAATACAAGATTTTCATCAACTGAATGTGCTTTTCCGTTTCTTACAACCCAAAAAACACTTGGAATATCACAATATTCTCATTGGCTCAACTTCATTTTTTACAGTTAAAAACAAGATTACCGTCAAAAATGACCCAGAGAAACACAGTGAGAACAAAAAAGCAATGAATGATTCGTACAATTTGCCAAAAGAGCAATAGCAACAGAAAAAATTCAGCATTCAAGGCATATCAATAAGGGCATTACATCATGTGGAGTACCACGATTTATAACCATTTGTTTCCATTTGTAAATCAATCACAACTAAAAAACAATGTCGAATTTTAAACGGGAAAAATCTAGAAACATAGTTTTAATTACAAAAATATATCTCATATACAACTTTAAAAGCATACAAGAACATGTAACTATTAAGTTACATAGCTTACATTGCAACAATTGTCGCTCAATCGAAATCTTTATCTTCTAGATATCGATATTCGAACGTAAACTGCTCCTTCTTACGTTGGGACCATTTTTCATAATCGAAATATACATATGTACCCTGGAAAAAAGGGCTCTTTTATATAAAAATGCTAATTTATTCAAGTAGAAAAAAACTACAATGCTTGGTGAAAGAGGAATTTTCTCCCTTTGACATCGACTATTCTAATAATAGCTTATCCATTGGCATGGAAAGTTTCTCAAATATAAACTGCATATGAATGTAGTCTAGAAATATGTCTAGAAATATTTATACAATAAATTTCTGCACGAAACCTTTTGAAACTTACTACCTAAACGATATCAAAAAAAAAAAAAAAAAACATTGGACTTGACTTTCTTTTAAGTCGGTTATATTCCTTCACAACTTATTACTCCATGTTATCAAAAATACAGTCCAAATTGTGTTGATATGTTAAATGTTCCGTATCATCCATTATCCAAAAATGTGATCAAAGATCAGCACAGTTGGCTCTCTTCATAATATAAATGAAGAATGAAATCGTATGTGCGATCTTACTTGCTCGTAGTCGTCAGTTATTTGCTTCGGTTCTTCATGTCGTTGGAACCACATCAAATACTTCGTGTGAAATCGCCATGAAAGCTTTTTTAATGCTTTTGCCGCTAGTAACTGTGCACGTGAACCCTAAAATTCAACAAAATTTTCTTGAGATCACACAATTACTTTCTTCATAAGATGGATAAGATAAAAAATGTGATCGAAAAGAAAAACTGCACATCTTAATAATTAACCTCCATGTAATAAAAAGCGAAGAAAAGTGTCTCTGGACTTAATCGGAGGTAGTATTCTAATGTATCCGCATTAATCAGTGGCGCTTGCGGATAATAAGCTGCGGTTACACATGGCATTTTTGGTAAATAACTTCGTGGCTTCTCGGAATCCATCGGTAATGGTGTTCGCGTCAGTGAATGTTCTAACAATTTCAATTGTGTATCATGCTCTGGCATTGCCGGCGAACGACCCAAAGGCGATGCTCCAAGCCATGCTGGTATAATGGCCTGCATTTGAAGCTGAATTTCAGAAAACAACAAATAAACATTACGGTGGAATGAATAAGGAAAAATAGAGGTAAGAATATGTCCATGCATTTGATAGTAACTAACAACTACTATAATATCAACACACTAATACTGAATACTGTCTTTTTTTCCAATTCATTTGTGGTCACTTTTTGACTGTCTGAGGAATCATGAAATTTCTACTGCAGTACATTAAGAAAACCTTAATTTTAAGCTTTACTGCTACATAGTTTACAATAACAGTAAGTAATTGTTAGTTGCTATATTTTCAATTACAACCAAAGCTCAAAAATTCAATAAATATTAAAATATGCACCGCTTGTGGCAAGTGATTTCGTGCATCCTGAGTGGTACTCATCCGTAATACTTGCCGTAGAGCATTCTGATCAATGTCATTCCCTGCTATATTATTTTGTAGTGATACTGTAGTTGAATTTACTATAGCTGCACTTGCAGTTACAGTAGACATATTTAACGCACTGTTCGTCTCGCTGTTCACTTGAGAAGCTGCCAGTGCTGTTGTGGAATGTGTCACAGTTGACGGTGGCATATTTAAGGCTGTTGCATTTGTTACCAAATTTTGTAGTGATGATGCTTGTGCTGCCATTGACTTCAGCGTGGCAATCTAAAAATAAATATTTCATAAACAAATAAAGAAATCAAAATAATGACAAATAGAAAAATAAATGTAAATTGCTCAACACTTCTTATTCCTTTAATTATTAGTTATATTAACCGCCCTCCGTGATTTCATAAGCATCGTAATTTTCGTAAAATGAGAAAGTAGTGTGTCCTACAGGCAAGAGTTGAAATCATATAATATCGCGTGATAATAGAAAAAAGAACACGATTATTCAAAAGATGGCATACAAGCATGTGATAAATGCAACAGATCTTAAGGAAAAGTTGCAAATACGGCTGCAATAAATTTTCCCCGAAGATAAAGGCCTGAAGTAGTTGCATGTACTAGCGTGCCTGCAACATTAACAGCAATGCATTGAGTACCGAACAAGCGCAGTGTTCCTAACAGTTTCTTTTTCTTCCTTCGTTTTCTTTCTTCTCGGTTAGAAATATACGATCACAACCAGAGAGCAGTTGCTAAGAATGCTTAGCTCTATCATTTGAATCCATGAACCAGCTAATCTTTCTCCTACCTTTCCTGCTCTATCGCACAATCCCGTCAAATTACAAAAATTGCTCCTTTTAAGCATTAAAAAATAAAAATTCGAGTAAGTAGCTAAAAACATTGGTCAACGTTAATTTCTTCATATAAAATTAAATAATTTAGGAATTTAACGTCTGCTGAATCAACAGCTACCATAGCTAATTCTTGACTTAACTAGACTCACAACAGACCTCTCCTCACATTTCAATATTCCCCCTGTCGTACTATTCTATATCAAGGCTCAGGTTTGCAGCGGTAAGGAAGCACAACATAGGATTCATTTATGGAAACTTAGCAGTGGTCGAATATCTCAGTTGATTCATACTGCCTCATTTCTTCTCCCTACCGCGTTTGTGCAAATTTATTAAAGAAAAAAAATCTTATAATCTCGGTGTTCAAAACAAAAGCTGACCAAAACTTGAAATTCTACTCTTTCTTCATCATTTTTTAATTATTCCCGGTCATTTTTTCCCACTAACAATTCTTAGCATTGCATTAAGTTTAATCTCATCGAACATAAAGCACCTAATTAGCTACATGCTCTTGCATTTTTTTGCTCTTCATTTTGTCATTTTTCGTTTTCATGATTTCTTTAATTACGTCACTTATACCACTTATGTCAATTCTGTCATGCTCATTTTTCTCAATGCAAGAAAAAATAATAAGCATTAAGACATAATTCATGAACAAGAACAAAATTCACCATATCATTCACCATACCTCATGATGACTGCTGGTTGAACTTGAAACGGAAAAACGTTTTGCAACATTAGAATCCGGTGTTGAGGATCGTGATGTCGGCAGGATTGCTGGACTTAGCGCTGCTGTTGTTTGCGATGATATACTCTGAAACAGAGATAATTAATAACAAAGATCTACGAATTAAAAAATAACAGTCATTTTCTTAATACTGTCAATAATTTTCGAAAAAAATTAGAAAAAAGAAAAAATAAGTGAAAACGTCTGTACAGCTGATCCTGCCACTCCATTGAAGGAAGGTAGTGCAACGTCAGTTTAATTCTTGAAATAAAATGAAAAAATGAATAAACGGAAAAGTATACACCGCAATGGAAGCATCTTGATAACAAATTTAAAAGCCCAACCAACTATCCTGCTTCTTCCCAATCCTTTTCCCATCCATGTTTATTATAAACACATACAGAGAAAGACACATACATACATCGCATAATTTCGACGAATTCAAGCTGAATAACTTATTTATATTTCCGATCAATCAATATTTGAAACAGCTAAAATGGCCAATATGCTTATAACGAAAAATTTCTTACTTTAAAAATTCAATTTTTGCTTATTTAGAAATAACTTATAAACAAAGTAATAAGTAAATCGAGCTACAACGATGATTTTAAACTTCTGTTTCTTCCCCAATTTAAGTTTTCCGCAACTTTAGATTTCAACTTTTATCAATCGAAATCATTGTAAAGCTGACGTCAAAAAATGTAAAAGTAAAAGCAATGATTCAACCATTCAAGAAATTCTTTCAGCAAAAAGTATATGCTGTAATGTCATAGACGTCTTGACTCATGACAATCACTAAATACCATACCTCCCCCTTTCTCATCCTACATTATTCTTAATTTTCTAACGAAAAAATTTCATACTGGTTGAAAAATAGTACTCAAAGTTGATAACTAGAAATTTTGGTTGCAAAAATAAAACGCAAGATATTATTCGACCTTTCAAGAAAAGAAGCTTTATTTCAAAGATCAAACTACAATTAGTCTTGCTTAAATGTCTCTTACTAGCACAAGCTATCCATGAATGTGGAGCCCAGAAAAAAAAAAAATGTACTCATTACTTATCCATGTGAATCTTAAACCTTGAGAAAACCACCTTCCTTCAAAAATATGCTTATTGTCAACAGTTTTGGATCTATTAATCCAAACTGTAAATTAATTACCGTCTAGACGCTTCAGATTCACTTAGTCATTGAAAGGGACTTTTTTGTTCCATTCGTAGAAACTGTTCTGATAAATAATGGCAAACGAGAGTAGTACGCACTAAATCAAATATCTATCGATGTGATATTTGAAAATATGGATATTTTGATTCAGGATAGACATGTAGGATAACATAAACATATTCATGTGGATTATATATATGCATGAATATGAACGTACGCATTAGCATTAGATAATATGCAAGCAAATATCATACTAAAAAAAACAAGTACATATCAAAAGTTTTATCTAAAAAGCAACTCTATTTTTCCAAGAATTCAATTATTCCTCAAATTCATTTTTAGCTTGAAACAACCTAAACTTTCAATTTATTATCTTTCTTAAGTAGTTTCCAGAAATATTATAAACGCAACACATCTTTTCGGATGAATTTTGTAGAGCTCATGTTACCAATGATAGAACTATTTTAAATATAATTATAACTATTGAGTTCCTTAGTTATTACCTCAGTAACAGTTATTTTGCAAGAGAAATAGAAGCAACACGCTTTCTTCACTGGAATATACTTAGTTATTTCTGAAGAATTTCATCTTCACCTCCTTATTTCAAAATCTAGTAATTCCGTTTCTTAAGAATGCCACTGCAGATGCAAAATATAAATGATCTAATTGTGTCGATAAACGAAATAACTATAGGATGTAAAATTCTACTGCATTATCAAAGCTAGAAAAAAGATTACCGTCAGAAAAGTTCATAAGGTATCAGATGAAAAAAAATTAGACTATACATTTTAGACGGCACATCTGCTTTTATATAAGTTGCTTCTTTTAGCACTGACTTCAAAATAACTAAAACTAACAGCTCCATAATGTGTATAATGAACAAATAAATAAAACTAAAAAAAAAATAAAAGACACATTGTCACTTCTTTTACACAACAAAATTTGCATAAGAAGTTTGGAAAAGACTATAAAATAAAAGAAGGAACAAACCGATGGCATGTCAACATGTAATGGTGATGGAACTGCGTTTTCATCGTTTACAGGAGCTGTTGATTGCTGTTGTTGTTGTTGTGGCTGTTGTTGTGACTGTTGTTGTTGTTGTTGTTGTTGTTGTTGCACTGCTGCGGGTACTGCAGTAAGTTGTTGCTGTTGCTGCTGCTGTTGTTGTGCAATTGAACTGGTAGTTGTTGTTGTTGTCACAGAAATAATACCTGGCGACTGTCGTACCACTTCAACTGGTTGCTTTACACTATAATCCGTAATAGATAAGATCGATTTCATTAATCAATCAGATTATGTTAATTTTATTTAATTTCGAGAAAATAATACTCATATGAACGAAAAATTTGCGAAAGAACAAATTAAGATTTGAAAATTTTGTACTTATTTTGACTACTAATATGTTGATGGTTTGTAGAACACCACATATGTTCGAATATATGAATTTAAGGCCTTTTTATTATCAATGAAATGACAATAAAAAGGTGGATTTTCTTGTCATTTCGTTTGTCGAATTCACAACTTTTTATGTAACCAAGTTTGTTATTTTGTTGATAAGTTCTTGGAAAAATATAGAAAAAATAAAAATCTGTGCGCTACCCGCAGTATAAAAAATGCTATACAAGTTGTAATGAGAATTAGCAACAATAATTGTGACAACCAAATAATTAAAGAAAAACCCCGCTAATAATGGAATTTGATTCGTCGACCTAGAAATGAGATAGCATTTCGACAAGTCAAATGCAAATCAGTATAATGATATGGAAGTATTTCACATTACATCAGGTTGGACTTCGACAATAATTTGTTGAACTGTCAAGCTAAAATGGACGTACTACAAAAGAAGAGTTGAAAAGTCAAACGAAAGAATGTTAAAGAAATAGCTAGGAATGAGTGGGACTAAAATGTGAATATCAGTTGACATATCAATTTAAAACAATTCCTCTAATCTACTTTAGACATGCATGAACTATAATATACGTATAGGAATTACCGGAAAAAATTTTCCATGTAAAAAAATGCAGAATTTCCAAAAGCAAAAGAATCGGTTTTTGAATTTAAAAAATTTTAACAGTTTTGCCAAGTTTCTCCTCAAAAAACAATTTATTTATACCTCTTCAATATTAATCAAAAAAAGAATTTGGTTCTTTTATTAAAGTATTTTAAATGTTTCATAGAAATTCTTCATAATAGAAACTAAAAAAAAAATCGCTCATCATGAACTTCGATAACTTCATTTTTGAACAGAGATTGCATGTATACATTCATTACATATTGCGCGAAACAATCAGTGCATGAAATGATAGGTAATTTCGAATACTTTCATAAACAACAATGTTACTAATATCACTTCAGCTCCTCCAATATTTTAACAAACGTGGCATGCTGTTCATAATTTTTTTCAGGCACACATGATTCATCCCTTGTGATGAAATGATTGCCCTTCCAGCGTTTCACTGTTGCTCACTAACGTCAACCACAAAAACAATTCATTCTATTCATCTTCTGAGCCTCTTTCCATGGTTTTCATGTATTTATAATTTCCGTCAGTTGTTATTTTTGAAAAGATAAGAAAGATCCCTTCACCCTTTTAAAAGTTTCATACGTTCCTAAATGAAAAAGGCAGCATAATCTCAAAATAAAATTCATATATGGCAATTCAATAGATGCAGCATGAGAAGATATAGGATAATATGGTTAGAATTAAATTAAAATGATACATGATGGTTGGTTTGGAAATCCAATACTTCTATACCAATACCGATATTTCCAGTATGTGTCAAAAATTATGGATCACAAATTTTTTTATATTATCAATTTCCATATCGAATGAGATTTATATTACAAGTATACATATTCTAAAATTCTAATTTTGTGTGAAAGACAGAAGAGATTAAAAAACTGAAAAGAAATAAACCTTGTCTGTAGAATGTTCCCCTTAGTGTTCTTTGTCCCAAGTCCAACAGCCACACTGTATGGTATTCCTGGAGGCGGTGGTGGTGTGGCTGGTGGCGGCGGTGAACTAAGCGAACTTTCACCACTCACTTGACTAAAAAATTTCTTTCGAATTTTGAGAATAAAAAAAATTGAAACAAATAATCTTTAAGTTTATCAAAAATTTTGACTCATTTTCTTTGTTATTATTGAGCAAGCCATTACTTGCTCTATTATTGGTCTTTATTCAAATTTCAAACATAAAATATATTAAATTTTTGTGAATAAAATAAAACGAATTTAGTTTTTACTTCCTCGTTAATAGGTAACAACAATCAACCACTTAAATTCTAAACCTTGATTGCTGGCCTCTTCACTCTTAGTTTTCACGAAAACCAGAAACTTCTGAATGCTGGTTTAAAATCAGATTCCTGGATCCCACAGTGGTCGTAAAAAACGGTCAAATCAGTGGTCGGCAGTGAAAAATTGCATTCCCATCATTAGGAATTGTTTAGACATTATGAAGTTTGGAACGGTCCAGGATCAAAAAGAGAGAAGAAGCTACGTAGCAATATCTATCAATTAAAGCAGTCTTAGGTAGCATAACTGATTGTTAGAGAGGCAATAATGCCATTAAAAGTTAGTCGTCAAATTGCTCTCGAAATTAGCCTTTAATCAGGACCTTCGATGCTAATACTATCATTCATTTTATCGAATAACCAACATCGCTAACAAGTCTCAAATAAAGGAATGACCCCATCTTTACCTTTACTCATAGACACAAGAAATGAATAGTTTAGGAAATGAAAATTTGTATATTGAAACGTTATCTTATAATGAAGAAAAAATAATATTTTAAAAAGTTATTTTGCACGATTTTTTTTTGAAACCCTAAAATTTTAGCGTGAAATTCCTCAATTTAAATCTAATTAAGGCTTGCTTATAAACTTGAAGAAAAAAACAATCAAAAATACTGCACAAACCTGCAAAGTATTTTCAAATTAGGTACATTAACGTTATGGATATTTAACATAGTAGGTTGAAAAAATATACATATGTGTATATGTCTATGCACACACACGGTAAAATATATAAATACAATTAATATATGTCGATAAATGAGTACGCTACAATAAGAAGCAAATATAGAGTATGTTCTTAACCATGCAGTATCGCGCCAGTTTGAGGAGATCAACAAAAAAAGATAATAATTGATTGTTTTAAGAGGGGATCTTCGAGATGGATATAGTCATTGCCTAAAGTCCTGTTTCCTAATATATAAATTCTTCATCTTATGTACCTCGTGTAGTAATCGTTTTTTACAATGAAATAAATGGAATATAAATTTTTTAATATACAAAATCCATGAATTCATATTTTAATTATTGGGTAAAGATTATGAAATCATGCTACTATTTGCAAAGCTAGGAATTACTGAAATGAGAAGTAAATGAAAAGTTTTACCCAAATAATAAAAATCAGTCCATTTCAATTTTTTCTACTTAGAAGCACGATATTATTTCTATCACTCCAGAAATCAAAATCTTAAGGAGTGAAACAACATGTTTGAAAATTGCAGAAACTAACTAACTTGGTAAGTTTTAACGGTGTAGCTGGTGTACTCCTGCTAGCTGATATTTGTCGTGTCAGCAGTGAAGTGGGCTCGCCGCTCAAGTGTCTTTGTTTTGTAGTGTTATCGTCCGTTTCCTAAAGAACATTACTGGTTCAAAGATTGAATTTAGAATTAGTTAGGAAAATACTTGCTAGTGAACAAATTTCCCTCATTCAGAAAGATGATATTTACTGATTTCCGAGCAAAAATTTTAAATGATATGGCAATCTTTTCAGAAAATAGAATAACTGATTATAAGAGACCTTCGGCAAAACTGGTGTAGGTGATGCAGCTGGTGATATTCTCCCATCGATATTGTTTTCCATTTTTTCATCAGAATCAGCCGAACCAAAAATAGCACCACCTAACTGCGGCGTATATGATTGCAAATCTAACTCATCATAAACTCCTGAACATTGAAATCATTTTTCCATCTGCCAATAAGAACTTATGTTTAATAAATTACTGAAAATATAGGCAATGAAGAGAATTTACTCATTTGAAATTAACAAACTAAGAGAAGTAGATGCAAAACAGAATATTTTTTATTCACAAATTTCCCTATTCAGGAAGTTTGAAACAATTACCTGTTGTTTCGGGATCAAATGATTCCGAATCATTTTCACTTTCAGGATCCAAAGATTCGATGTACATTTCGAAAGGTTCTTTTAACGCATCCATTACTCTTTTACTCTCCAATGTTTCGTTATTAACAAGCCTCATACAAATTTCTAGCTTTGACACGTGAAACCTTATTCGTTCTAGGTGTTTTCTCAAGTCATCCAGTCGTTTCAATTTCTGAAATAATCTGTCACTGTAAACAAAATCCCGACACTTCCACTAACCGCTAGCAGGTTGTTGCTTCTTATTTGTGGCAACAAAGTCTGAGAGAATTCCAAATCGTCCAATTTTATACTTCACTAATCAAACTGCTAATGACTGTATTTTATCCTATGCTCATACGGGAGGTAGTGGACTTTGGAAGTTTCGCAATTGTTGGAAATGACCTACCACCAACAGCATACTATTTTCTTACCATTTACTTTTATAGATAAACAAAAGATTTTGGAATGAGCAATTTGTGGAATTTGCAGATCTTAACAAAACAGTGAAGGGAGAGACAGCTACAAGGAAGAATTTTTGCTAAAAAAAACTGCCAAAAATTCTTGCGCCTTGTCGGATAAAATTATTCAAAAAAACGGATAAAAGAAAAATCAGTGGACCTCTTTCTCGCCTTTCTTCGGATCATCTCTTTTACCTTTCTTCCTTGTTTGATCGGCTGTTGACAAAGATTCAATTTGTGATTCGGTCTTATCAGCTTCATCTTCAAGATATCGTATTTGGCACTAAAAACTTGCTGTTAACAACACTGAAAGGAAATATGAATTATTTCAGCTGATTTTAGAATTCTCAAAAAACTGTGAAATGTTTAATTATTAAAATACCTGCAACCATTCCACAGTTTCCGATTTTTCTTTTTCCCGTGGATCAAGCTTTTCTTCGGCTGATAATCCCTGCTTGCTGTGTGGTTTGGTCTTATTTTCCCTTTCAATATCTTTAAACTGCTCCATCCTTTGTTCTATTAACTTTCGATAAGACGTCAATTTGTCCTTATCCTGCAAAAAGCTTGGAAAAATAAATTTACCAATATTATAAGCATTCGTGTAGACATAAAAACAGCTCTCAGAATATAATAGCATAGCTCAATTTTCTACGGTTCCATGCTATTC